GCCGAGGTCTCTGTGATTGTGCCTTGGGTTTATCCCTGATAAGGTATCAAGGTTTTGTAATTAGCCATGATGGTTGAGTTGCACTGGAGGATTCGACCATATGTCGTGCATTGGGCTTACTTTGATAAAGAGAAAATGACTTCTAATTCGACTAAGCAATCAAATGCCTAGAACTCTTGAGAGCTGACTAAGTCTTTCCTTCCCCTAAGACCGAGAGACGACCGTGAGAGTCGGCAAAATGGTTGAGTTTGTTTTGTTAGGACTCTTATCGTATTATTTTGCAAATATCCGTATCTTGGGTGAGTGAACACCATGACATTTTAAGTTTGGATTATGATTTTTTTGGAGTCCTTTATATCTTAACCGTTTGTAATTTAGTCCCTCAAATTATTAAAAAGTTTATCAAATACCTCAATGTTCATGAGTTGTAGCAAAATTAGGCCATAATCAGTGAAATTACTATTAACTCCTCGATTTCTTATGAGTTGTCACAGAGTAAACCCTTTAGTCAAGATAATAGAGACAAAGATGTAAGAGTCGAGGGTCCTAATAACAATTTAAAATTTGTGGGGGTCTAGTTCCAAAATATTAAAGATGTAATGGACTATTATAAAAAACATTAACTTTTTTTGAAGACATAGACTCTAGTTATCAATTTTATTTCGTAAGGGGACTTGATATTGAGAAAATTGTTATGCTATATATTAAGTTTTGTATTTTGGCCAGATGTGTATATTTAAACATGATTAGTGAATAATTTCAATTGTAGCATTAAAAAATCATTTAAAATGTGATATAATTTTAAATAACAAATAAGTAAAAATAATTATCAATTCATTTCATTTTTTTACTTTCTAAACAATATTTTACTTTTATAAATAAATATTATATTTTAGTTACACGCTGATATACATATATTTTCCCATGAGTGGTGTTAGCGGCACACCCCCTACCACACCACCAACCACACCCACTCTCCCATCGCTACATTAAACCGGGCCCCACATGAGATTTTAAAAATGGTTTACTGTAGCGATGGGAGAGGAGGTGTGGTTGGTGGTGTGTTAGGGGGTGTGCCCCTAACATTATTTTTTTCCCATACGTGAAAAAGGGCTAAATACCCATATTGGTATTTTAATTCAACCCCATTTGACAACAAGATATTTTAATTAGGAAATTCGGCGATAAGACATTTTAATTGAATAAAATTACCATTAAGGTCCTTTTTCTCGTCGGCGGCCACTTTTCCGGCGAAAACTCATCACGTGTGTTGCACGTGGGGACTTAATCTGTGTTTAAGATGCTGATGTGGCTCTGTTTTCTGACGTGGCAGGGAGAATAAAAGAGGGATCGAATTGGGGAAAATTGGGAATTAGGGTTTAAGACATCGGGCCATTGGAAGAGAAGAAACTATGTCATCGGCATCAAGTTCAAGCTCTCATTCAAGCTCTCGTTCTAAAGCAAGCAGGGTGAGTGGAAAATTGGGATCGCATGTAAGTAATAATCATGGTTTGAATTCTTTGGCAGGTATTAGAAGGTGGAACGAGGAAGCAAGGACGGTTGGCATGAAAATCTGTAAGTGTAGAATGGATTGTGGGTATTATACATCATTTACAGATGAAAATCCTGGGAGAAGGTTTTATAAATGTCAGAATCCTAATGGTGGCTGTGGAATGTGGGAATGGTTCGATAGACCTCTCTGCAATGTGTCTTCTACTCTATTTCCTATTCTACGAGATGAAATACTTAACTTGAGGAGTGAATTGAAGCTCAGGGATAGGCAGATTCAAAGAGTTGAGGCCGAAGTGAAGGATTGCCATGTTGAAAATGCCAATTTCAGAGAACAGCTCCAGGTTTTATACGATGAGAACGCTTGCTCTTTGGAAGAAATATCAAAATTAAGAGATGAGAGTTTCAGATTAGAAGGTTTGCTTCAATTGGAGAAGAGGAGGAGGATGTTGCTGAAGAGAGGAAGTTTGATATCACTTTTGTTTGTAGTCGTTTTTATTGTGTATTTTTTTTGGTTTATGGACATGGATATGTAATGTTTAAGAGCATATTGTATGAACTTATGAATTTAATGAGAAGAAGCATCAGGACATGAAGATCTGTCACTGTTTATGAGAAAAATTTGTCATGGTATACCCTGTATTCATGAATTATCTTTGTGAGTGAACCTGTACGATATAGTTTTCCTGTGACAAAGCATACTCACAAGTAGGCAATCAAATACATTGCACAATCAAATACATTGCACAATCACAAGTAGGCAATCAAATACATTGTACAATATAGTTTACCTGTACAATATAGTTTTCATGCACAGAAGCTCATAATCACATTGCACAATCAACATACTAACCAGTAACTCCAAGCTTAAGTTCATGTACAGAAGCTCATAATCACATTGCACAATCAACATACTAACCAAAAGCCAAACTACATTAGTCACCATCAATTGTCATGTGTTTGTCATGATTACAATCACCAGCAACAAGTAAAAAGTCATTCAACTACCTCAAGTCTATATATTACCAAAAGCTAAACTATAATTACATATAATTACAACCCACTATTATGTGCACATGAAGCCTGTGTATGCTCCTCTTGGTGTACATCCTGGGTTGTCCTTGGAGTTGAATCCTGTATGATTGTTGCTTGAGAGGCACTTGGGTCTCTATAAGCTATTTCACCATGATCACCATGCCATAGGCCAAAACCCTCTGGCATAATGACTGCATTATTTCTTCCTTTGCCTCGGCCCCGTCGTATATCACTCCTTCCTCTAGCATTTTGAGATTGAGCTTAGAGAATACATAACAAATTCAGTGCATCAGTAAGAATCTATATGAAAACTTGGTGCACAACAGTATGTATTGTTCATTACCTCTAGCCATTGATCTTTTATTTATGAAAACTTGAGATGGTGGAAGAGGGTTTGTTTGACTATGCTCTTCAATGGAAATGTTAGTTCTGGTTTTGCTCCCCTTTGGTCTTCCTCTTTTCTTCCTTCCACTTGTGCCTCCATCAAGAACTTGAGATTGATTTTCCTAGAAGTAAATCAATGGAGAAATTAGATCATAGTGCTGCATATGAGATTATTAAAGATATCTAAATAATGGTCCCTCATCATTACTGCTTCTTTGATCACTCTGATAGCCTCCTTCATAATTTGTCCAAAAACTAGGCCAGTTTTGAGTTTTAGGAATTGTGCCTCTAGAGTTTGGACCTACTACATTCAATCCCACAATATGTGACATATGCGATTCTGCAATATGTGATGGGTTATTACCAGCATATGTATCATGAATATGGGTGGAACTGGTGTTGACTTCATTAGCTTGTTGTGGTTGTGGTTCAGGTTGTGCTTCATTAACTGTAGGAGGGAGACCATCTACATCATCTACCAATCTTGCCCCAGCATTAAATGCTATTCTACCCTTCTCCTCCTCTATTTTTTTCTTATTTTTTTGCCTTATTTCAAACAACTCATCATCATCACTTCCTACTGGGCTCTTATGACTCTCAATATCTTCAGATTCTGCTGAGTCTATATCTCCACCATCATTCTCATCTACATTCTTATCTGTTTTCATTATTTGCTTTCCCTTTCTTGATCTATTCTTTGCACTAAACTCATCAAAATAATTCCTTATCTTCACCATCATCATCATGCAATGGCTCTGTGGGATCAACCCTGAAATTTTTATCCTCCACTGAGTCATCATCATCATCACTAGAAGATGTTTGTGCAGATTTGTGAGGGGGTGAATTGGAGGGACTGGGCAGTGGTGATTTGGAGGGAATTGACAGTGGTGAAATAGTAGGGTTTGAAACACTCACTTGGCCCTCTTTTACATCTACTCTTTTTTTGGGTGTTAACTTCTTTCTCCTAACCATAGGAATATTTCTTTTAGGAGATGTAGCAACTGAAGTAGGACCTTCTATCACTTCTAATGGCATGTCAACATCGTGATTTGCATAGATTTCTATCACTCTGTGCCTCAATGCATGCTCAATCATTTCTGCAAGATCCTGATCTGAATTTAGAGGCTTTAAACCTCCACTAGCCAGTCCTACACTAGGAATAGAATAATACAACATCCCGACATTGTTATAACCATATTCTGTAACACTAATCTTCAATTGTTCTAATGAAATATCTTCTGCATCACAAAACTCAACATCAACTGAACCACCAATGTATGCCACATTACTTCCGAAGTCCAATGACCCCCCATGTCTATATTTAATCATAATTTGCGTAGCCATCTGCATAATTTACGAAAAATGATAATAATTCTATCAAATTCAACCCATTATTTGGAAAAAAACCACAACTTTGAAAACCCTAATTCTATCAAATCTAACAAAATATAAGTACATTTTAGGTTTATCTTACATTTAACTCAAACTAAATACGTGATTAACTTATCCTCTTCAAAGCCACCAAAAGATTTCATACGTATAATGAGAATCAAACCTTCGCATTCCTGTCAACCCGTACCAAGTCGTCGTCCTCCGCAAATCACCTAATGCATGCACCGAGGAACACCATCAGTTGAAATCTCTGCAATCTATCGCATTCAACTGCCTCAACGATGATGACTCACTCTCTATTTCTCCCTCTCTCTCGCGCTCAAATTCTGAAAACGAAAGGAGGAATATGTCCTATTTTGGGTGGGAATTGGTTTTTAGAGGGTTATTCTCCCTGCCACGTCAGAAAACAGAGCCACATCAGCATCTTAAACACAGATTAAGCCCCCACGTGCAACGCACGTGATGAGTTTTCGCCGGAAAAGTGCCCGCCGACGAGAAAAAGGACCTAAATGGTAATTTTATTCAATTAAAATGTCTTATCGTCGAATTTTCTAATTAAAATACCTTGTTGTCAAATGAAGTTGAATTAAAATACCAATATGGGTATTTAGCCGTGAAAAAAGTAACATTTATTTGCAAATAGGGTAGAGCACCCGATCCACTGTATAAAACCGTAATCCTAACGCGGGAGAGAGAGAGAGAAAAAGAAAAAAATCGCATAAAATGTCCTTTTTGCTCTCGAGCTCTTCATCTACCGCCACCAAAGCCGCCGCCGCGTCCCGTCTCCGACTCTATTCTCAGCGGAGATTCTGTCACCGCCTCCAATCGGTATCCTAAACGCTACCCTGCAAAAGTTTTTTTTCCCCGCTCTCACCATTTTTTTTTGTTAATTCAGGATAGAGTTTTCCTTGAGTTGGTTGGATCGAGTTTCGCTTTGAGGGCTAGGGTTTCCCTCAGGGCAACGGCGACGACTGACACCCAGATGTCAAAATCTCATCTTTCGGTTTCTGGTAGGTTTGTGCGCTGTTTCTG